CGCCCACCGCCCCACTGCGGGCTTAGCAGGGGTGACTGCTGGCCCCACGCGGCTCCGCCCTGGCTGACCTGTGCCCCCAGGGAATCTGAAGCAGGATCCTTTTCCATAAACGTGTGTATTAGAGGAGATTCAGGAGATAGTCCCAGAGAACAATAACTAGTGCTCTGCTTTATGCAAAATGCATGTGTTTTCTTGTTTGGCTTTCGAATGCTCGGGGGTGTTCCTCACGCAGCCTGGGAGATACTCCTCAGGCACGAATGCTGGCGCATCTGGCCCCCGGAAGGGCCCATGGAAGGAGTGACAGGGTGCTGGGGCTCTCTCTCCTCGGGATTATTGCAGAGCATTTAGAGATTTTCTGGAGGCCTGGAAGCCTGGCCGTGCAGAGTCCTAAGAGTGGACCAGCTGGAGGAGGCCCACCCTCTCTACCTGGGCCCCCCACCGTCCCGGCGCTTCCATGAGGCAGGAGTGGGGAGAAGCCAGGCATTTGGGATAAAGGCCAGGAGCCATCAAGATGGGCTCAGCAGCCAAGGACAGGATGTTGGTTGACAGAGGCGTGGACCCTTGGCCACAGTGCCCTCCAGCCTGGGTGACAGGTGACCTTCATGAGCTGGACCACGAAGGGGCCTGTTGGGGTTTCAGCACAGGGAGGACCCGGGAGGCTCCCGTGACGGTCTGGGCCAGGAGTTAGGGAGAGTGTCGGGGACACTGGCAGGAGGGACTTGGGTGGAATGGATGGTGGACATGGCGTGAGGAGGGGACGCGGGTCCATGTCTGGACTAACTCAGTTCCTTTTGGCCAGAAGCCGGTTGTGGTGGAGACCTTCTTTGGATATGACGAAGAGGCTTCTCTGGAATCCGATGGCTCCTCCATCTCTTATCAGACAGACAGGACGGACCAGACTCCATGTACCCCCGACGATGACCTGGAGGAGGTAGCCGCCTACAGGGGCTTCTGGACAGGCTGGGGCAGGGCCTGGAGGCAGCGAGGATCAGGGTTGGGGACGTGGGGCTCTGCTGTGTGGCCTGCCCCCTGGAGCGGTGGGCTCGGGGGCCCTCCCCGGCTGTGCCCCCCAGTAGCCTGTGCTCATATCCTTCCATACAGTGGGACAGAGGGCTCCCTGCCTCTCAAAGGGCTGCCCCAGGGGGTCTGAACCACCCAGTGTGGGGAGGCTGGCAGCAACACGGAGGGCCACGCCGAGGTGTTCATCAGGGTGACAGGCAGTGCAGAATGGCGTTGTCTCTGATAAAGCCCACCCAGCCTGACCTCCCCACCAGTCCTTCTTGCAGAAGGAACCGTCCTCAGATGCAGGCGGCCGGCTGAGCCCCACATGTGGGAGGAAGCTGGGCTTGGTTTGGTCTCACTGGCTTGGCCCCTGTGGCTGCAGGACAAGGAGTAACAGGCTGTCTGCGGCCCTGACAGGCCCAGGGGCACTAAGGCCATGGGTAGGGCCTGCCCTGGCCGATCCGGGCAGGTGACCCATGGCCAGGGACCCACTTAGAGACCTAAGACATCATAGCAGAGCTGCGGCCACAGCCTTGGGGGTAAGGAGCGCAGGGGGAGCGGGGGCCAGGCTAGGGTTCCTGGGGCCGGTCACTGTTGGGCACAGCCACCCTTCATACCAGACCTAGGCCTTGTTCTTGGAGAAGCAAGCGCTTTGGGGTCCAGGGGGGCCCTGGGAAGGCCGCAGCACCCTGCCTTCTGTCTGGGGCAGCAGGTGTCCCTGTAGCCAGAAGGAGGCATTTAGAGATCTCTGCAGGAAGGTGGGGGTGGGGAGGAGAAGCATTCCCCGGGTCTAGGTCTCACCTGACACATCGGGGGGGCAGATGGGGCCCCCGTCGAGCCCCTGGCCTGGCTGCCGGCCCCTGAGATTCACCCTGGCCTCAGTGCAGCCAGCTGGGCCTTTCCCCGGGGGGGGCTCCAGGCTCACCTCCCCACGGCCCCAGGTAAGCCTGCATCTCCGTGCACCTGTCCAGGGCGTGGCCAAGGAGGAGACCGAGCTGAGGTTCCGGCAGCTGACCATGGAGTACCAGGCTCTTCAGCGAGCCTACGCCTTGCTGCAGGAGCAGGTCGGAGGGACGCTGGATGCAGAGCGAGAAGTTAAGGTCTAACTGACTTCTACTCCACGACGTTCCAGCTCCCGCTGGGCTCCTCCCCGCTTGACCCCCGGCCTTGGCAGGGACACTTGCATTGCTTCACCTTCCGGGCCAAGCCCTCTCTCCCACGGTTCTTGCCGGGCCTGCCGATGCTCCCTGAGGCGATTAAGGACCAATGTTGGCCTGGGGGTGGGTGGGGCCTCCCAGAGTGGTCCCAGGCACAGGTGTGAGTGATGGTCCCTCAGAGAGCGACGTGTGTCCCCTCTGGGGACCGTGGCTGGTAGGCAAGGGGAAGTTTGCTTCCTCGCAAACCGTGCAGTGGTGCTCTTAGGGGGCTCTCCTGGAGCTGAGGCTCAGAGATGGGGAAGGGCCAGTGTTGCAGCTCAGTTCCGGAAATTTGCCAAGATCATTCATTCATCCAATACACCTGAGCTCAGCTGCTGTGCCCATCTTGACCCTGAGCCTCACCAGGCAGGCCCTGCTGGGAACAGGTAGGTGTCCCCCTCCTGCCCCTGCCTCCCTGGACCTTGGCCCAGGCGCTCATGCCCCGTCCTCAAAGGCAGGAACATGGGGCTGACAGGTGCCCTCGCTGGCCACCAGGGGAGGCCGTGGCAGGGGGCTGTGCCCTGCCCTCCCTGAGCCCCTCCCCTGCTCCCTGACGTGTGGCCTGCCCTGCCAGGGCTCAGAGGGGATGCCCTGCACAAGGAGATGGGCTGCATCCTGTATACCTGAAGGGCTGTCCTGCCCAGCTGCCCTGGGGCCTGGGGGCCAACTCTGTCCCTAGCATACAGGGCAAGGGGCCAGTCAGCTGGTTCTGGGACTTCAGCTGGCCGGCTGAGCGTGGACTCTTGGAAGCAGGGCACAGTGTCAGTGGGGTCCCCTTGCCACATCCATCCTCGCTGCCTGGAGAGTCACTCGGCCTACTCCCTGTCAGCAAATTGATCTCCCTCCAGGTTCACGTGTATCACCCGGGCCCTAGGAGGGTGGAGGCTGGGGGAGGGGAGGGGAGGGAGAGCCAGGGTCCGCTGATGTCCGAAGAGGAACCCAGGGCCAGGCCAGGGGATCCCCTGCCCTCCTCAGCTTGAGGGCCACCGGACCCTGTGCCCAGCAGGCCCAAGTGCTCTCATCTGCCCAGAGCTGTTCCCAGGGAGCAGGAGTACTGGAATGAAGTGCCCTGTGGCTGGGACCCCGTGAGAGCAAATTAGCTCCAGGGAGGGCGGCCTGGACCCTCTGGGGGCCTTGCCTGCACTGGGCACTGAGGGTGGGCTTCTGCAGGGGCACTGGGGGGGGGGGGAGTCAAGTGCACGCAGAATGTGGAGCAAGGTGATCCGGGACCAGCGGAGGGCGCCAGCGCAGGACGGGAAGGGCCGATGGCCAAGCCCGTGTGCAACCGGTCCGTGCGTCCTCCGTGCTCCATCCTCCATCCTCCGTGTCAGCCAGAGCCCGGAACAAGCCCCCCAGTGGCCAGCGCCCCGCAGCGCTCCACTGCCCTCACCAGCTGTTTCATCCTGTCGACAGACATTTCCCCTAACAGTCCCTCAGAATGAGTCTGTAGGGTGTCCCCCTAGTCTAAGTGAGCCTTAGACTCACGGAGCCTCCCTGCAAAGTCGAGGACCGCGTCCTCTCCCTTAGCGGAGGCTGAGGCCCGCCAAAAGCCTCCATCCCTGTGGGCGTGTCCTGGCTGCGAGAGAAAGTTTGATGTATCCCTCCTCCCATCCTACAGACCCGCGAGCAGCTGCAAGCAGAGGTGCAGAGAGCCCAGACGCGGATAGAAGACCTGGAGCAGACCCTGGCCGAGCAGGGGCAGGTGAGACTCGAGCGGGAGCCGGGTGCCCCACCAACACGGAGGGTGCCCGAGGGGCGCGGACGATCCAGCCCGGCAGACTGGCGCCCCACTAAGAAATCCAGACACTGAGGGGAGCATGTATCAGAGGAAGGGCACAGCACGGCTTGACGGGGGCACCTGGGCAGACCCTCTCTCCCCCCAGCTCAGGGCCGGGGTTGCCCCTGGAGACCGCTGGTCACTCCCTCACCCCTATGCCCATCGCCACCTCTGGGCTCTTCAAATCCTGGGGGCAAGCGTCCATCGCCCGTGGCCATGAGCCTCTGACCTGCTGGACGGCGCACTTCCAGGTGGACCCAAGATGAGGCAGGAGGACGTCTGTGTAGGGCTGGGAGGGTCCACCCCCGGGCTGCATGGGAAAGCGCCCGGCTCGCCATCAAGCCAGCGCAGACCCACGGTGGCCCTCGACGTGTTCGCCTCTGGGTGGACGGTGGGATGGAAGAGAGGAGGACCTGAGCGGCACAGGGTCATGTTGTCCACGCCCCTGCCTGAGCGTGCGCGGCCCCAGAGTCCGTGCTGGGCACCTGTAGCCGTTTACCTGAAACCCGCCGGACTGGCTTGCACCCCGTCGGGGCCACCACCCCTCCCCCGGGGCCCCGGGCGCTCAGGCAGCGGGAATGGTGCTCAGGAGCTGTGCTGTGCGCGGCCTTCGCGGACCCCGCCTGGACCTTTGAGTGGGATGCCTGGGCCCCATGCCATGCCATCTGTGCTGGAGAACTGCAGCGGCGGGTTAGCTGGGACGCGAGCCGGAGGAGGACGGGCAGGAGGACGCGGCTGCCTTTCATCTGCAGACGTGAACCTTCACACTTCACAGATGACTTTGCGGGGAAGAACCTGGAAGCAAGTGGACTGTGAGGGGCAGTGGGAGTTCCTCCCAACCCCTTACTGAGGATGCTGCTGGAGGAGGGAGCGTCTGGGCTTTTGGAGACACCTGATCATGGGGCCGGGTCGGCCGGGGGTCCACACACGTCTCTCCCCAGAGCACAAAAGCTGGCCTCCATCCGTATGTCTGAGTGTGAATGCACAGGACACCCCCCGAGCGACCAGGCTCCTGTTGGCTCCGTGTCAAGGTCCCTGGACCCGTGACTCCCACATGGCTCCACGTGCCACTGGTGCCTGCTGTGGGCTGGCGTGGTCCGGGAGTGCTGGCCACGTGGTGGCGCGAGGGGTCTGCTCTCCGTCCAGGCCCCCCGGCAACTACAGGGGACCGTGGGCTTTCATTCACTGCAGGACAGGACGGTGGGCAGGCGGCAGCTGCGGAAGCTGGGTGTTGAGTCCATTCTGCTGAATTGTGATTTAAATGCTGGCTTTGCCTTAATCCCGGGGTGTATTTATTTCTCTAATTTAATTCCGTTTCCAAGGACATGAAGTGGATTGAAGAGAAGCAAGCGCTGTATCGAAGGAACCAAGAGCTTGTGGAGAAGGTAGCGCCCCCACCCACCGCGCTCCCGGGAACTGTCTTCTGGGGAGAGGTCCTTGGAGGGTCCATGGAGCTGGGTCCGCCCAGCAGCTGTGAGTGTGCCCGGTGGAGGGGCCGTGGGCCACAGCTGCCGGGCCCCCTCCAGAGCTGACCTTACTAGTTACGGGGTTGTTCAAACAGAATCAGAAACAAGTCAACCCGACGTGTGAGGCCCGCACCTTCCAAAGGGTGAGTGCAATGCATCCATGGGCTTCCCTGGCTTCCGGCTAACAGGAAGCCCCAAAACGCTGTTGTCCCTGCAGCCCACCCCTGGGCTGGGGCTCTGTGGGCTGGAAGACTTTATGTGATGGGCCAGAAAACACGGTGCCCGCTGGCCCGTTCCTGTTAGCGGCCCGAGCTCCTGCCCGGACCCGCCTCACTTGCCCTTCTCCCTGCAGGTGAGATGCCCGTTCTACACACGAGCTCCCTAAGTCAGCCTGTTCTCGGGGCCCACAGCACGGAGGGCCGAGCACTGTGCAGGGCTCGTCAGAGGACATCTGTGCTGCTTGGGACAGTCCCCAGTGGGCGGCACCCCAGAGCCGCTGGAGCGGGGCACTCAGACCAGGGCGGGAGCGGGGACTATGATTCAGAGGCAGAAAGGCCACCAGCGCCATCATCTTGCCTGGTGAGGGTGCTGCGTGCGGCCCTTCCCCACCAGCCGCAGGCCTCGTCCTGGGCCGAGGACGGGCAGGGGCAGAGGCACTCGCCCGGGCAGCCACAGCCCTTCTAGAGAAGAGCTAGGCCAGCGTGTCCTCACGAGCCTTAGGGGCGCCACTGTGACCGTGCTCTGCACAGACCAGCAGCCTCCAAACCAAGCCCGTGGGCCACAGTCCAGTCCCACCCAGGGCCCTGCTTTGGTGCTGTTAGGTCTTGAATCGTGCGTGACGCCCACGTTTCCTGCGGACTGTCCATATATGTGTCTTAAATCACGGCAGCTGTGTTTGTGGTGTTCTCATGCACATGTACACACCTGTGTGCATGGAAATGCTTGTGTGCACACATAACGTTCACGTGCACACTTAAATGCTCACTTGTACATATAACACATGTACATAAACGCTTCTGTGTGCACAAAAATATGTCTACATATAAATGCTTATGTGCACACATACTCTTTATACACTTGCATGCACATTTAAGCACTCTGTGCACTCTTAAACACTCCCATTTAAACACGCACGTGCACACATAGATATTCGTGTACGCTTGCACACACTGTGTGCACACTTACAGTGCTCGGGTGCACACTTTAAACCTTTGCTTTCCTCTGGCTACCATGTACACGGGGTCACGTTCATGGTAGGGGCTGCCCACGGCCTTGGCTGCGCAGCCTGACGCCGGGCACTGTGGAAGGAACCCACCCCGACAGCACCTTGCAGGATGTTGAGCCCCTGGATCCATCTCCACCCACCCCTGAGCATCCCAGCGGGGCATTCAGCTCCCCACATTCAGTTCAGGGGGGATGGGCCAGGCCATCTGGCCCAGTGGACACCCTCTGGCACACCCTTCCCTGTCCTCCCAAGGCCGCTTGCCCCAGGATGCATTGCTCTCACCCTTTGGAAGGTGCGGGCCTCAAACGTCAGGTTGACTTGTTTCTGATTCTGCTTGAACAATCCCGTAATTAGTAAGGTCAGCTCTGGAGGGGGCCCGGCAGCTGTGGCCCATGGCCCCTCCATCGGACAGCAATGCACCTTCGGGTTCTGGGCCAGCCTGTGCTTGAAGGAGCACTGTCCTGGCGACGGCAGGGGCCGCATGGGGACATCTTAGCGGCTCTTCCCTTGATGGGCCCCTTCTCTTCCCCATCTCCGCTCAGATGGCTGGGCCGGGCTCAGGGCCACTCTGGGGGCATCCATGGTTCCTCGCCCCTTGCATCTGCCCCTGCATCCCCCCCCCACGGTGAGCCAACTCCGGCTGGAGTCAGGGCTCTGGGCGCTGGGGCAGGTCAGCCAGCCCCACAGATAGCCAGAAGCTGTCGGGAAAGCCGGGAGTGGACCTCACGTGACCTCAGTGTGTCATCTGCCTTTTATTTGACAGATTAAACAAATGGAAATAGAAGAGGGTCGGTTAAAACACGAGGTCCAGGATGCGAGGGACCAAAACGAGCTGCTGGAGTTCCGGATCCTGGAACTCGAGGTGTGCCGGGGGCCTGGGTGCGGGGTGCATAGGGGAGAGGCCACCATCCTGCAGAGCTGCTGTGATGGAGGAGGCGCTTGGCCTTCCTGACCTGGGCCCTTGCTCATGACCCCAAGAGGGGGTTGGAAAGGAGGCACCTCTCTGCCCAAGGGCCACGGACGAAAGCCCAGAACGAACGAGACCTGAGTCTGCTTCCAGACTCATGCGGCTGGGCAGTGATGGCTCCGCCCGGAGGGGCCATGATGGTGGCAGCTGTGCTGAGCGGGGGCCACACGCCTGACCACGGTGGTCAGCCAGCGGACGTTTGCTCCCTGCTCGTTTAAGCAGCCCACTGCGGGCTGCTGGGGGCCACGCAGTGACCAGGTGCCCGTCTGTGCACAGCTGTCCTGGGCCCCCGTCCTCCCCTGTGACCTTGGCCTCCTGCAGACCACATTCGCTGGCCTCTGTGTCTCCACCCTGTCCCTGGGTGGCCCCCAGCACAGCCCCCATGCCCAGCCTCCCGCTCTCTGTCCTAGGAGAGGGAGAGGAAGTCTCCGGCCATCAACTTCCACCACACCCCCTTCGCAGACGGGAAGAGCCCCCTCCAGGCCTACTGTGAAGCTGAAGGAGTGACGGTAAACCCCCGCCCCCCCACCCCTGCACCCCACACAACCCCACCCGGCTGGCATTCACCTCCGGGTATCCCTGTCTTTGCCTCCAGGACATCCTGGTCACGGAGCTGATGAAGCAGCTGGACATCCTGGGGGATAACGCCGTAAGTGTATGTCGCTCTCCTGACTTGTGCATGCCTCCTCATGCCAGCCCCCAACCCATCAGTCCCCCAGGGTCCAGGGATCCCCATGAGTCCCGCTGCCAGTCTGCCATGGCTGCCCTGCCCGCCGGCACCCTCCCTGAGGCCACAGCTGCTTGGTACGGCCCCTGGAATTTGGGAGAAATCCTGCTCCTTTCTCATGTTCTTGCACCCGGCTGAGTGGCAACTCGCACCCAGAAGCACGGGGTTCGGAGCCTCTGTTTGGCCAGGATGGGGAACCCTCTGCTGTGCATACCCACTTCTCCTAGCCATGATGCTTCTGGCCACATGTTCTCAGTTTCTGAATCCCAGTCAGTTGCTAAGCCTTCCCACAGCTTAATGGAGGTGGGGGCTGCAGATCCTCTAGTACCTTAGATATCCCAGACTCTTAGGGATTCCCACTTCCTTGGTTTTGGGGGAAGGGCAGAGACCATAAATAATCTGCAAATCTTATTTAGGGCCCAGTTCCAATTTCTACAGCAACCTCCTTGAAGAATACTGATTGAGTGACTGAGTGACTGTACTCCTTCATCCTCCATCCATCCATCCCTCCCTTCACCTTTCACCCTCCAACCATCATCTCTCCATTCCATCTATTCATCCTTCCTCCATCCCTCCCTCCATCCCCCATCCATTCATTCATCTTCTATCCTCCATTTACCCATCCATCCATCCATCCTCCATCTACCCATCCTCCATCTACCCATCCTCCATCCATCCATCCCTCCCTCAACCCTTTACCCTCCAACCATCTATCCATCTATTCATCCTTCCTCCATCCTCCTATCCTCCATCCATCCATCCTTCATCCCTCCCTCCATCCCCCATCCATACATCCATCTTCTATTCTCCAATTATCCATCTATCCATCCATTCCTCCATCCTCCATCTATCCTCCATCATCCATTCATCCTTCATCCTCCATCTACACTCCATTATCCATCCATCCTCCATCCTCTGTCCATCCATCCTTCATCTTTCATTCTTCATCATCCATCCATCCATCCTCTGTCCGTCTTCCATCCATCCACCATCCATCCATTCATCTTGCATCCATTCTCCATCCATCCTCCATCATCCATCCATCCTTCCTCCTCCATCCACACTCCATTATCCATCCATCCTTCATCTTCCATTCTTCATCATCCATCCATCCATCCATCCATCCATCCTCCATCCATCCATCCATCCATCCTCCATCCATCCTCCGTCCATCCATCCATCCTCCATCCATCCTCCACCCATCCTCCATCCATCCATTCATCTATCCATCCTCCATCCATCCATTCATCCTCCATCCATCCTCCATCACCCATCAATCCATCATTCCTCCATCCACACTCCATTATCCATCCATCCTCCATCCTCTGTCCATCCATCCTTCATCTTCCAACCATCCATCCTCCATCCATTCATTCTCCATCCTCCATTCATCCGTCCATCCTCCATCCATCCATTCATCTTCCATCCATTCATTCTCCATCCATCCATTCATCTTCCATCCATCCATTCTCTATCCATCCATCCATCCTTCATCCATCCTCCATCCATCCATCCTCCATCCTCTGTCCATCCATCCTTTATCTTCCATCCTTCATCCTCCATCCACCCATCCATCCATCCTCCATCCATTCATCTTCCATCCATCCATCCATCCTCCATCCTTCATCCTCCATCCACACTCCATTATCCATCTATCCATTCTCCATCCATCCACCCACCCATCCATCTTCCATCTGCCCTTTATCCATCATCTTGCACTTGTTGAGTCCCCTGCCCAATGAGCAGCTCAACTGTGCCAGAAGGCAGCCTCATTCCACCACCCAGAAGTTTTTTTTTCTCCCACGGTATACTAATAAGTATAGTCTACAGCTAGTCCTAAGACATCTTGGGCTCCCCATCCTGGTCATTGCTCTTGAGAAAGAGCCAGGCACTTGGTCAATTCAGTGTACTTCATGAAGTAGAAGGAGAAAAAAAGAGAAACAAATGCATGCAAACACACACATTCTCACTCACACACACCAAAACCCCGATACTCACATGTATTCTTGGGACTAGTTGTTCTTCCCAGCAGCTGTGACACATGTGGGGCCCTGTGTTGACAGGGATGCTTCCCTCTTGCCCACCCTTCACTTGGGGAGGGAGGCTCTGCTGGTGGTTCTGCCCCTCCCCCGGACCCCATGCTCCATCTGAGCTGTGGGTTGTAGAAGCGTTAGCCAATACAGGGAAGGGGTCCAGCCCTGAGTTATCAGGCCCCATCATGGGGACCATATTGGTTAACCTGATTCAAGCTGGAGAAACTGAGGCCCAAGAGGACACCTGCCCAGGGTCCCAGAGCTGATGTAGGATGAGCTCAGTTCAGGGCCCCTCCCCAGCCCTACAGCTGCCTACTCAAGAGCATCAGTGGGCAGGACTGCCATGGAGCCATCAAGTGGCCTCAGAGCATGGGAACAGAGACTCTCAGGGACTGGAGGACACATGTTCAGGTTTTACGCTCAGGGGACCCTGGGGAAAGCTTGGCAGTTCCTACCGATGGGCCTAGAGGGCGTCCCTTCAGTGATCACAGTGGAGCATATGGGTGTACTTCACGTGCACCTCATGACCCAGATGGTGCCCCGTGGAGCCTGAGATTCATTCCTGGAGCACGGACTGGCCCAGCTTATGAAGCAGGTGACAGGGACAGCCCGGCCCCTCCTGCCTTCACAGCCAGCTCATGCTAGTGCTGTGGTTACTGTGCACAGACCTCCAAACAGGCTACAGGGGTACCTGAGCCCCAGACCTCAGTGTGCTCAGGAGGCAGGGTCCTTGGAGTTGAACAGAGGTGGCAGGGGTGGAGTGGACACCCGTCCTCCCTGGCGGGCAGCACCACTCACCACTGCTCTCCCTGGGTTGCAGAGGGATGGGTCACCTGGGGAAGGGAGAGCAGGGGCCAAGAAGGTAGAGCAGACGGCACTCTGCCCAGGCCGGGGCATCGTGATGCCAGGCTGCTCACCCAGTGGTGAGCCCGTCAGCCCAGTGCAACTATGTCCCGGTAGGTTCTCCCTGAAGCCACTTGCTCGGCCTCCCCTGGTCCCTGTCTGCCTTGGGAGGAGGGAGCGCCTGGGCACCTGACCAGCTTCCCCAGGAGCAGGAGGTGTGCAAAGTGCCTGGCCAGCCCAGCTCTGTGCTGAGTCAGGGTGCACTGTGCCCCAAGGGCAGGGCTTGCCTCTGTGCCTACAGTGTTTGGTCACTGGCGCCCACCTTTGCTGACTGCTATAGGGGTAGGGGATGATGAGGACCCTTCCCTTGGGGGAGCTCACACTCCAGATGGAGAGCTTTCTGAGCAGATAGATTCTGGGCTGTAGGGGGCTGTCCTCCAGCTCAGTAGTCCAGCAGGCTCTGCCCTGCTCTGGTCTCTGATTCCCATGTTCTCCACCCCCCACCCGCTGCCCCACGAGTTGGCCCCTGCAGTGGGGACAGCCCAGCTCCCACCCAGGTGCTGATGCAGGTGGCAGTCAGGGTCTGAGGGAGTGAAGTGCTTGTAGACTCTGAGGATGCTCATGGGCCCCAAAGCCAGACTCAGCCGGAAGAGCACCCAGGTGGGCCCCTTGGAAGAGGTGTGAATACAACATGCAGAGAAAAGGCAAAGACGCCAGGGATGGGAGCCCTCACCCCACATTCCTAAGTGGGGTTTTAGTAATTGATAACACAGGCTGCATATGCAGAGAGCTGGCTTTCAAGAAAGATGTGCACAAGGGACAGTAGGCACACGTGTCTAGCTGCTGCCTTACGCTCCCCCACCCCACCACTCCTGCCTCAGCTGGCGGCTTACAACGTCCTGGTCACCAGTACTGGGAGGATGGGAGGGGGCAGAACAGAGGGAGCACGCCAGAGTCAACGGGATCAAGAATAAAATGGATTCAAGACCCCAGGAGGCCATTTCAGTAAAAGTCACCTTACCTGTGACCCCAGCCCCCTGCACCTCTCCATCAGTTTCACTTCATGCAGCCCCATTCACCCCCTACCAGGCACCCCCCATTCACCCCCCACCAGGCACCCCCATT